TGGAAGAAGAAAATCGCGATGGCGTAAATACAGGCGAAAATACCGAAGTAGCAAGACCTGACCGCGAAAGTATGTATCAAGCAGCTGTTACTTTTTCGATTGGTGAACTCGAGACTATCTCGCAAGACGCCGGGAGGATATCTGATATTAATGGAATTGCGCAAGTAGGGAAAGTGTTGTGTTTCTAAGCTGCGCCTAGGAGCTGACATATATCGATGGGCAGCGGATGGAATGGTTATCGGCTGACATATATGGATGGGCAGCGGATGGAATGGTTATCGGCTGACATATGGATGGGCAGCGGGTGGAATGGTTAGCGGCTGACATATATGGATGGGCAGCGGGCGGAATGGTTATCTGCTGACATATATAGATGGGCAGCGGGTGGAATGGTTATCGGCTGACATATATGGATGGGCAGCGGGTGGAATGGTTATCGGCTGACATATGGATGGGCAGCGGGTGGAATGGTTATCGGATGACCTATGGATGGGCAGCGGGCGGAATGGTTATCAGCGGGTGGAATGGTTATCGGCTGATATATATGGATGGGCAGCGGGCGGAATAGTTAGCGGCTGACATATATGGATGGGCAGCGGGTGGAATGGTTATCGGCTGACATATATGGATGGGCAGCGGGTGGAATGGTTATTATCGGGGCGGATGACGGCTGACATATGGATGGGCAGCGGGCGGAATGGTTATCGGCTGATATATATGGATGGGCAGCAGGTGGAATGGTTATCGGCTGACATATATGGATGGGCAGCGGGCGGAATGGTTATCGGCTGACATATATGGATGGGCAGCGGGCGGAATGGTTATGGCTGACATATATGGATGGGCAGCGGCGGAATGGTTATCGGCTGACATATATGGATGGGCAGCGGGTGGAATGGTTATCGGCTGACATATATGGGCAGCATGGGTTATCGGCTGACATATATCTATGGGCAGGGTGGAATGGTTATCGGATGACATATATGGATGGGCAGCGGGTGGAATGGTTATCGGATGACCTATATGGATGGGCAGCGGGTGGAATGGTTATCGGATGACATATATGGATGGGCAGCGGATGGAATGGTTATCGGATGACATATATGGATGGGCAGCGGGCGGAATGGTTATCGGCTGACATATGGATGGGCAGCGGGCGGAATGGTTATCGGCTGACATATATGGATGGGCAGCGGGCGGAATGGTTATCGGCTGACATATATGGATGGGCAGCGGGTGGAATGGTTATCGGCTGACATATATGGATGGGCAGCGGGCGAATGGTTATCGGATGACATATATGGATGGGCAGCGGATGGAATGGTTATCGGCGACATATATGGATGGGCAGCGGGTGGAATGGTTATCGGCTGACATATATGGATGGGCAGCGGGTGGAATGGTTATCGGATGACCTATATGGATGGGCAGCGGGCGGAATGGTTAGCGGCTGACATATATGGATGGGCAGCGGGCGGAATGGTTATCGGCTGACATATATGGATGGGCAGCGGGTGGAATGGTTATCGGCTGACATATATGGATGGGCAGCGGGCGGAATGGTTATCGGCTGACATATATGGATGGGCAGCGGGCGGAATGGTTAGCGGCTGACATATATGGATGGGCAGCGGGTGGAATGGTTATCGGCTGACATATATGGATGGGCAGCGGGTGGAATGGTTATCGGCTGACATATGGATGGGCAGCGGGTGGAATGGTTATCGGATGACCTATATGGATGGGCAGCGGGCGGAATGGTTAGCGGCTGATATATATGGATGGGCAGCGGGTGGAATGGTTATCGGCTGATATATATGGATGGGCAGCGGGTGGAATGGTTATCGGCTGACATATATGGGTGGGCAGCGGGCGGAATGGTTAGCGGCTGACATATATGGATGGGCAGCGGGCGGAATGGTTAGCGGCTGACATATATGGATGGGCAGCGGGTGGAATGGTTATCGGCTGACATATATGGATGGGCAGCGGGTGGAATGGTTATCGGATGACCTATATGGATGGGCAGGCGGAATGGTTATCGGCTGACATATATGGATGGCAGCGGGGAATAGTTATCGGCTGATATATATATGGATGGGCAGCGGGTGGAATGGTTATCGGCTGACATATATGGATGGGCAGCGGGTGGAATGGTTATCGGCTGACATATATGGATGGGCAGCAGGCGGAATGGTTAGGCTGACATATATGGATGGGCAGCAGGTGGAATGGTTATCGGCTGACATATATGGATGGGCAGCGGGTGGAATGGTTATCACATATGGATGGGCAGCGGGTGGAATGGTTATCTGCTGACATATATAGATGGGTAGCGGATGGAATGGTTATCGGCTGACATATGGATGGGCAGCGGGTGGAATGGTTATCGGCTGACAAATATGGATGGGCAGCATGGAATGGTTATCGGCTGACATATATGGATGGGCAAATGGTTATCGGCAGCGGCATATATGGATGACATATATGGATGGGCAGCGGGCGGAATGGTTAGCGGCTGACATATATGGATGGGCAGCGGGCGGAATGGTTAGCGGCTGACATATATGGATGGGCAGCGGGTGGAATGGTTATCGGCTGACATATATGGATGGGCAGCGGGTGCAATGGTTATCGGCTGACATATATGGATGGGCAGCGAGTGGAATGGTTATCGGCTGACATATATCTATGGGCAGCGGGTGGAATGGTTATCGGATGACATATATGGATGGGCAGCGGGGCGGAATGGTTATCGGATGACAGCATATGGATGGGCAGCGGGATGGAATGGATGGGCGGCTGACATATATGGATGGCAGATGGGCGGAATGGTTATCGGCTGATATATGGATGGGCAGCGGTCGGAATGGTTATCGGCTGATATATGGATGGGCAGCGGGCGGAATGGTTATCGGCTGACATATATGGATGGGCAGCGGGCGGAATGGTTAGCGGCTGACATATATGGATGGGCAGCGGGTGGAATGGTTATCGGCTGACATATATGGATGGGCAGCGGGTGGAATGGTTATCGGATGACCTATATGGATGGGCAGCGGGCGGAATGGTTATCGGCTGATATATATGGATGGGCAGCGGGTGGAATGGTTATCGGCTGACATATATGGATGGGCAGCGGGCGGAATGGTTATCGGCTGACATATATGGATGGGCAGCGGGTGGAATGGTTAGCGGCTGACATATATGAATGGGCAAAGATGGGCACATATGGATGGGCAGGTGGGTGGATGGTTATCGGCTGACATATATGGATGGGCAGCGGGCGGAATGGTTATCGGCTGACATATATATGGATGGGCAGCGGGTGGAATGGTTATCGGCTGATATATATGGATGGGCAGCGGGTGGAATGGTTATCGGCTGACATATATGGATGGGCAGCGGGCGGAATGGTTAGCGGCTGACATATATGGATGGGCAGCGGGCGGAATGGTTAGCGGCTGATATATATGGATGGGCAGCGGGTGGAATAGTTATCGGCTGATATATATGGATGGGCAGCGGGTGGAATGGTTATCGGCTGACATATATGGGTGGGCAGCGGGCGGAATGGTTAGCGGCTGACATATATGAATGGGCAGCGGGCGGAATGGTTATCGGATGACATATATGGATGGGCAGCGGGTGGAATGGTTATCGGCTGACATATATGGATGGGCAGCGGGTGGAATGGTTATCTGCTGACATATATAGATGGGTAGCGGATGGAATGGTTATCGGCTGACATATATGGATGGCAGCGGGCGGAATGGTTATCGGCTGACATATATGGATGGGCAGCGGGCGGAATGGTTAGCGGCTGACATATATGGATGGGCAGCGGGTGGAATGGTTATCGGCTGACATATATGGATGGGCAGCGGGTGGAATGGTTATCGGCTGACATATATGGATGGGCAGCGGGTGGAATGGTTATCGGCTGACATATATGGATGGGCAGCGGGCGGAATGGTTAGCGGCTGACATATATAGGATGGGCAGCGGTGGAATGGTTATCGGATATGGATGGGCAGCAGGTGGAATGGTTATCGGATGACATATATGGATGGGCAGCAGGTGGAATGGTTATCTGCTGACATATGGATGGGCAATGGTTATCGGATGACATATATGGATGGGCAGCGGGCGGAATGGTTAGCGGATGACCTATATGGATGGGCAGCGGCGAATGGTTATCGGCTGACATATGGATGGGCAGCGGGTGGAATGGTTATCGGCTGACATATATGGATGGGCAGCGGGCGGAATGGTTATCGGCTGACATATATGGATGGGCATGGGTGGAATGGTTATCGGCTGACATATGGATGGGCAGCGGGTGGAATGGTTATCGGCTGACATATAGCGGGTGGAATGGTTATCGGCTGACCTATATGGATGGGCAGCGGGCGGAATGGTTATCGGCTGACATATATGGATGGGCAGCGGGGAATGGTTATCGGCTGACATATATGGATGGGCAGCAGGTGGAATAGTTATCGGATGACCTATATGGATGGGCAGCGGGCGGAATGGTTATCGGCTGACATATATGGATGGCAGCAGGTGGAATGGGCGGCTGATATATATGATGGGCAGCGGGTGAATGGTTATCGGCTGACATATATGGATGGGCAGCAGGCGGAATGGTTATCGGATGACATATGGATGGGCAGCGGGCGGAATGGTTATCGGCTGACATATATGGATGGGCAGCGGGAATGGTTATCGGCTGACATATGGATGGGCAGCGGGTGGAATGGTTATCGGACATATGGATGGGCAGCGGGCGGAATGGTTATCGGCTGATATATGGATGGGCAGCGGGCGGAATGGTTATCGGCTGACATATATGGATGGGCAGCGGGCGGAATGGTTAGCGGCTGACATATATGGATGGGCAGCGGGCGGAATGGTTAAGTGGCCGACATATATGGATGGGCAGCAGGGCGGAATGGTTATCGGCTGACATATATGGATGGGCAGCGGTGGAATGGTTATCGGCTGACATATATGGATGGGCAGCGGGCGGAATGGTTATCTGCGGCGACATATATGGATGGGCAGCAGGCGGAATGGTTATCGGATGACATATATGGATGGGCAGCGGGTGGAATGGTTATCGGCGACATATATGGATGGGCAGCAGGTGGAATGGTTATCTGCTGACATATGGATGGGCAGCGGATGGAATGGTTATCGGCTGACATATATGGATGGGCAGCGGCTGACATATATGGATGGGCAGCAGGTGGAATGGTTAGCGGCTGACATATATGGATGGGCAGCGGGCGGAATGGTTAGCGGCTGACATATATGGATGGGCAGCGGGTGGAATGGTTATCGGCTGACATATATGGATGGCAGCGGTGGAATGGTTATCGGCTGACATATATGGATGGGCAGCGAGGCGGAATGGTTAGCGGCTGATATATATCTATGGGCAGCGGGTGGAATGGTTATCGGATGACATATATGGATGGGCAGCGGGCGGAATGGTTATCGGCTGATATATATGGATGGGCAGCGGGTGGAATGGTTATCGGCTGATATATATGGATGGGCAGCGGGTGGAATGGTTATCGGCTGACATATATGGATGGGCAGCGGGTGGAATGGTTATCGGACCTATATATGGATGGGCATCTGGTTATCGGATGACCTATATGGATGGGGCGGAATGGTTAGCGGCTGACATATATGGATGGGCAGCGGGTGGAATGGTTATCGGATGACATATATGGATGGGCAGCGGGCGGAATGGTTATCGGCTGACATATGGATGGGCAGCGGGCGGAATGGTTATCGGCTGACATATATATGATGGGCAGCGGGCGGGTTATCGGCTGACATATATGGATGGGGAATGGTTATCGGTTATCGGCGGGCATATATGGATGGGCAGCGGGCGGAATGGTTATCGGCTGACATATATGGATGGCAGCAGGCGGAATAGTTATCGGCTGCGGAAATGGTTATCGGCTGACATATATGGATGGGCAGCGGGTGGAATGGTTATCGGATGACATATATGATGGGTAGCGGGTGGAATGGTTATCGGACGACCTATATGGCGGGCGGAATGGTTATCGGCTGACATATGGATGGGCAGCGGGCGGAATGGTTATCCGGATGACATATATGGATGGGCAGCGGGCGGAATGGTTATCGGCTGACATATATGGATGGGCAGGGGCGGAATGGTTATCGGATGACCTATATGGATGGGCAGCGGGCAGAATGGTTATCGGCTGACATATATGGATGGGCAGCAGGGCGGAATGGTTATCAGCGACATATATATGGATGGCAGCGGTGGAATGGAATGGTTATGGATGGGCAGCAGGTGGAATGGTTATCGGCTGACATATATTAGGGATAACATATGGATGGAATGGTTATCGGATGAGGATGGGCAGCGGCGGAATGGTTATCGGATGACAATGGGCAGCAGGTGGAATGGTTATCGGCTGACATATATGGATGGGCAGCAATGGTTATGGATGACATATGGATGGGCATGGGCGGAATGGCGGGACATATGGATGGGCAGCGGGCGGAATGGTTATCGGCTGACATATATGGATGGGCAGCGGCAGAATGGTTATCGGATATATGGATGGGCAGCGGGCGGAATGGTTATCGGCTGACATATATGGATGGGCAGCGGTGGAATGGTTATCGGCTGACATATATGGATGGGCAGCAGGCGGAATGGTTATCGGCTGACATATATGGATGGGCAGCGGGCGGAATGGTTATCGGTGCGGAATGGTTATCGGATGACATATATGGATGGGCAGCAGGCGAATGGTTATATATATGGATGGGCAGCGGGCGGAATGGTTATCGGCTGACATATATCTATGGGCAGCGGTGGCGGAATGGTTATCAGATGCTGACATATATGGATGGGCAGCGGGGCGAATGGTTATCGGATGACATATATGGATGGGCAGCAGGTGGAATGGTTATCGGCTGACATATATGGATGGGCAGCGGGTGGAATGGTTATCGGCTGACATATATGGGCGGGCGGGTGGTTATGGTTATCGGATGGGGAGGATATATCGGCCGACATATATGGATGGGCAGCGGGTGGAATGGTTATCGGCTGACATATATGGATGGGCAGCGGGTGGAATGGTTTATCGGTTATCGGGGCGGAATGGTTATCGGATGACCTATATGGATGGGCAGCGGGCGGAATGGTTATGGCTTGACATATATGGATGGGCAGCGGATGAATGGTTATCGGCGATATATGGATGGGCAGGGGTTATCAGACGGATATGGATGGGCATGGTTATCGGCTGACATATATGGATGGGCAGGGGCGGAATGGTTGTGGATGACATATCTGGATGGGCGGCGGGCGGAATGGTTATCGGCTGACATATATGGATGGGCAGCGGGCGGAATGGTTATCGGCTGGGATGGGCAGCGGGTGGAATGGTTATCGGATGACATATATGGATGGGCAGCGGGCGGAATGGTTATCGGCGACATATATGGATGGGCAGCGGGTGGAATGGTTATCGGCTGACATATATGGATGGGCAGCGGGTGGAATGGTTATCGGATGACATATATGGGATGGGCAGCGGGTGGAATGGTTATCGGCTGACATATATGGATGGGCAGCGGGCGGAATGGTTATCGGCTGACATATATGGATGGGCAGCGGGCCGGCTGACATATATGGATGGGCAGCAGGTGGAATGGTTATCGGCTGACATATATGGATGGGCAGCAGGCGGAATGGTTATCGGCTGATATATGGGCATGGAATGGGCAGGATGGGCAGCGGGTGGAATGGTTAATGGATGGGCAGCAGGCGGAATGGTTATCGGCTGATATATATGGATGGGCAGCGGGCGGAATGGTTATCGGCTGACATATATGGATGGGCATGGTTATCGGCTGACATATATGGGATGGGCAGGCGGGTGAATGGTTGGCAGCTGACGCCTGTTATGGGATGGGCAGCAGGCGGAATGGTTAGCGGCTGACATATATGGATGGGCAGCGGGTGGAATGGTTATCGGCTTTGCGACATATATGGATGGGCAGCGGGCGGAATGGTTATCGGCTATCGGATGATATATATGGATGGGCATCGGACATATCGGGCGGAATGGTTATCGGATGACATATATGGATGGCAGCGGGTGGAATGGTTATCGGATGACCTATGGATGGGCAGCAGGAATGGTTATCAGCTGACATATATGGATGGGCAGCAGGCGGAATGGTTAGCGGCTGACATATCTGGATGGGCAGCGGGTGGAATGGTTATCGGCTGACATATATGGATGGGCAGCAGGTGGAATGGTTATCTGCTGACATATATATGGATGGGTAGCAGGTGGAATGGTTATCGGCTGACATATATGGATGGCAGCGGCAATATTATCGGATGGATGGGCAGCGGGCGGAATGGTTATCGGATGGACAGCGAGCGGAATGGTTATCGGCTGACATATATCTATGGGCAGCGGTGGAATGGTTATCGGATGACATATATGGATGGGCAGCGGGCGAATGGTTATCGGACGACCTATATGGATGGGCAGCGGTGGAATGGTTATCGGCTGATATATGGATGGGCAGCAGGCGGAATGGTGATGACATATATGGATGGGCAGCGGGTGGTATGGTTATCGGATGACCTATATGGATGGGCAGCGGGCGGAATGGTTAGCGGCTGACATATATGGATGGGCAGCGGGTGGAATGGTTATCGGCTGACATATGGATGGGCAGCGGGTGGAATGGTTATCGGATGACCTATGGATGGGCATCAGGCGGAATGGTTGGCGGCTGAATATATGGATGGGCGGCGGATAATGGTTATCGGCCGACATATATGGATGGGCAGCGGGTGGAATGGTTAGCATATATGGATGGGCAGCAGGTGGAATGGTTATCGGATGACATATATGGATGGGCAGCGGGTGGAATGGTTATCGGGACCTATATGCAGGGTGAATGGTTATCGGCTATATGGGTGGGCAGGGGCGGAATGGTTATCGGATATATATGGATGGGTAGCGGGCGGAATGGTTAGCGGCTGACATATATGGATGGGCAGCGGGCGGAATGGTTATCGGATGACCTATATGGATGGGGCAGCGGCGAATGGTTATCGGCTGATATATATGGATGGGCAGCGGGTGGAATGGTTATCGCTGATATATATGGATGGGCATGGAATGGTTATCGGCTTTGACATATATGGATGGGCAGCGGGCGGAATGGTTAGCAGCTGACATATATGGATGGGCAGCAGGCAGAATAGTTATCGGATGACATATGGATGGGGCATTATCGGATGACATATATGGATGGGCAGCGGGGAATGGTTATCTGGAATGGATGGGTAGGGTGGAATGGTTATCGGATGACCTATATATGGATGGGCAGCGGGCGGAATGGTTATAATATGACATATGGATGGGCAGCGGGTGGAATGGTTATCGGATGACATATATGGATGGGCAGGGGTGGAATGGTTATCGGATTATATATGGATGGGCAGCGGGGCGGAATGGTTATCTGATATATGGATGGGCAGCGGGCGGAATGGTTATCGGATGACATATATGGATGGGCAGCGGATGGAATGGTTATCGGATGACCTATATGGATGGGCATGCGGGCGGAATGGTTATCGGCGAAATATATGGATGGGCAGCGGGTGGAATGGTTATCGGATATGGATGGGCAGCGGGTGGAATGGTTATCGGACATATATGGACGGAATGGTTATCAGCTGACATTATGGATGGGCATTGGGCGGAATGATCGGATGACATATATGGATGGGCAGCGGTGGAATGGTTATCGGCTGACATATATGGATGGGCAATGGTTATCGGCTGACATATATGGATGGGCAGCGGATGGAATGGTTATCGGATGACCTATAATGGTTAGTTGGCGGCTGACATATATGGATGGCAGCAGGTGGAATGGTTATCGGATGACATATGGATGGGCAGCGGTGGAATGGTTATCGGATGACCTATATGGATGGGCAGCGGGCGGAATGGTTAGCGGCTGATATATATGGATGGGCAGCGGGAATGGTTATCGGATGACATATATGGATGGGCATGGTGGAATGGTTATCGGATGACCTATATGGATGGGCATATACATGGTGGAATGGATGGGCAGCGGGTGGAATGGTTAGACTGATATATGGATGGGCAGCGGGTGGAATGGTTACGGCTGACATATATGGATGGAATGGTTATCAGCGGGATGGACGGAATGGTTATCGGATGACCTATATGGATGGGCAGCGGGGCGGAATGGTTATGGATATATATATGGATGGGCAGCGGGCGGAATGGTTATCGGCTGACATATATGGATGGGCAGCGGGCGGAATGGTTAGCGGCTGACATATATGGATGGGCAGCGGCGGAATGGTTATCGGCGAGAGGATGGGCAGCGGGCGGAATGGTTATCGGCTGACATATATGGATGGGCAGCGGTGAATGGTTATCGGTGGAATGGTTATCGGATGACATATATGGATGGGCAGCGGGCGGAATGGTTATCGGATGACCTATATGGATGGGCAAATGGTTATGGCTTATATGGATGGCAGCGGGTGGAATGGTTATCGGCTGACATATATGGATGGGCAGCGGGCGGAATGGAATGGCAGCAGGCGGAATATCGGATGGATGGGCAGCGGCGGAATGGTTATGGACATGGATATAATGGATGGCGACAGCGGGCAGCGGGAATGGTTATCGGCTGACATATATGGATGGGCAGCGGTGGAATGGTTATCGGCTGACATATGGATGGGCAGCGGGCGGAATGGTTATCGGCTGATATATATGGATGGGCAGCAGGCGGAATGAAGCAGCGGGCGGATGGGCATGGAATGGTTATCGGCAGCGGGTGGAATGACATATATGGGTGGGCAGCGGGCGGAATGGTTAGCGGCTGACATATATGAATGGGCAGCGGGTGGAATGACATATCTGGATGGGCAGCGGGTGGAATGGTTATCGGCTGACATATATGGATGGCAAGGGTTAGAATGGTTATCTGCGACATATATGGATGGGTTGCGGTGGAATGGTTACATATATGGATGGCGGCGGAATGATACATATATGGATGGGCAGCGGCGGAATGGTTAGCGGAATGGTTATGGGCAGCGGCGGAATGGTTACATATATATGGATGGGCAGCGGGTGGAATGGTTATCGGCTGACATATATGGATGGGCAGAATGGTTATCGGCTGACATATATGGATGGGCAGCGGGTGGAATGGTTATCGGGACATATATCTAAGCGGATGGAATGGTTATCGGATGACATATATGGATGGGCATGGGGCGTATGGTTATGGGACATAGGCAAAGGGCGGAATGGTTAGGACATATATGAATGGGCAGGGGCGGAATGGAATATATGGATGGGCAGCGGTGGAATGGTTATCGGCTGACATATATGGATGGGCAGCGGAGGAATGGTTATCTGCTATATGGATGGGCAGCGGGCGAATGGTTATCGGAGACATATATGGATGGGCAGCGGGTGGAATGGTTATTTGATGACATATATGGATGGGCAGCGGGCGGAATGGTTATCTGCTGACATATATGGATGGGCAGGCGGCGACATATATGGATGGGCAGCGGGTGGAATGGTTATCGGACCCATATATGGACCGGGGTGGATATGACATATATGATGGGCAGCGGGCGGAATGGTTATCGGATGACATATATGGATGGCAGCGGGGCGGAATGGTTATCGGATGGGATGAGCAGCGGCGGAATGGTTATATATGGATGGGCAGCGGGAATGGTTATCGGCTGATATATGGATGGGCAGCGGGTGGAATGGTTATCGGATGACATATATGGATGGGCAGCAGGTGGAATGGTTATCGGCTGACATATATGGATGGGCAGCGGGTGGAATGGTTATCGGATGACCTATATGGGCATGGTTATCGGATGACATATATGGATGGGCAGCGGAATGGTTATCGGATGACATATATGGATGGGCAGCGGGTGGAATGGTTATCGGCCGACATATATGGATGGGCAGCGGGCGGAATGGTTATCGGCTGACATATATGGATGGGCAGCGGGTGGAATGGTTATCGGCTGACATATATGGATGGGCAGCGGGCGGAATGGTTGTAAGGCGGTTGACATATATGGATGGGCAGCAGGTGGAATGGTTATCGGCTGACATATATGGATGGGCAGCGGGCGGAATGGTTATCGGATGACATATGGATGGGCAGCGGATGGAATGGTTATCGGATGACCTATATGGATGGGCAGCGGGCGGAAATGGTTATCGGATGACATATATGGATGGGCAGCAAGGTGGAATGGTTATCTGCTGACATATATGGATGGGCAGCGGATGGAATGGTTATCGGCTGACATATATATGGATGGGCATCGGATGATATATATGGATGGGCGGAATGGTTATCGGCTGACATATATGGATGGGCAGCGGGCGGAATGGTTATCGGATGACCTATATGGATGGGCAGCAGGCGGAATGGTTATCGGCCGACATATATGGATGGGCAGCGGGTGGAATGGTTATCGGCTGACATATATATGGTTGGGCAGCGGGATGGAATGGTTATCGGCTGACATATATGGATGGGCAGCAGGGGTAATGGTTATATCGGCTGATATATATGGATGGGCAGCGGGCGGAATGGTTATCGGCTGATATATATGGATGGGCAGCGATTATCGGCTGACATATATGGATGGGCAGCGGGCGGAATTAGGTTGGGCGGGTGGAATGACATATATGGATGGGCAGCGGGTGGAATGGTTATCGGATGACCTATATGGATGGGCAGCGGGCGGAATGGTTAGCGGCTGACATATATGGATGGGCAGCGGGTGGAATGGTTATCGGATGACATATATGGATGGGCAGCGGGTGGAATGGTTATCGGATGACCTATATGGATGGGCAGCGGGCGGAATGGTTATCGGCTGACATATATGGATGGGCAGCGGGTGGAATGGTTATCGGCTGACATATATGGATGGGCAGCGGGCGGAATGGTTATATATGGATGGGCGGGCGGAATGGTTATCGGCGACATATATGGATGGGCAGCGGCGGAATGGTTAACATATATGGATGGGCAGCGGGCGGAATGGTTATCGGCTGATATATATGGATGGGCAGCGGGTGGAATGGTTATCGGATGACATATATGGATGGGCAGCGGGCGGAATGGTTTATCGGCTGAATGGTTAGGATGGGCAGCGGGCGGAATGGTTATCGGCTGATATATATGGATGGGCAGCGGGCGGAATGGTTATCGGATGACATATATGGATGGGCAGCAGGTGGAATGGTTATCGGCTGAATATATGGATGGGCAGCGGGTGGAATGGTTATCGGCTGATATATATGGATGGGGCAGCGGGATGGAATGGTTATCTGCTGACATATATGGATGGGGGCAGCGGGTGGAATGGTTATCGGATGACATATATGGATGGGCAGCAGGCGGAATGGTTATCGGATGACATATATGGATGGGCAGCGGGTGGAAATGGTTATCGGCTGACATATCAGCGGGTGGAATGGTTATCGGCTGACATATATGGATGGGCAGCGGGGAATGGTTATCGGATGACCTATATGGATGGGCAGCGGGCGGAATGGTTATCGGCTGACATATATGGATGGGCAGCGGCGGAATGGTTATCGGATGACATATATGGATGGGCAGCAGGTGGAATGGTTATCGGCTGACATATATGGATGGGCAGCGGGTGGAATGGTTAACATATATGGATGGGCAGCAGGCGGAATGGTTATCGGATGACATATATGGATGGGCAGGGGTGGAATGGTTATCGGACGACGGATGGGCAGCAGGTGGAATGGTTATCGGATGACCTATATGGATGGGCAGCGGGCGGAATGGTTATCGGCTGACATATATGGATGGGCAGCAGGTGGAATGGTTATCGGATGACATATATGGATGGGCAGCCAGTGGAATGGTTATCGGATGACCTATATGGATGGACCCAGGTGGAATGGTTATCGGCTGACATATATCTATGGGCAGCGGGTGGAATGGTTATCGGATGACATATATGGATGGGCAGCGGGGCGTATGGTTATCGGATGACCTATATGGATAGGCAGCGGATGGAATGGTTATCGGCTGACATATATGGATGGCAGCGGGCGGAATGGTTAGCGGCTGACATATATGGATGGGCAGCGGGCGGAATGGTTACCTATATGGATGGGCAGCGGGTGGAATGGTTAGCGGCTGACATATATGGATGGGCAGCGGGCGGAATGGTTAGCGGCTGACATATATGGATGGGCAGCGGGCGGAATGGTTATCGGATGACATATATGGATGGGCAGCGGGTGGAATGGTTATCGGCTGACCTATATGGATGGGCATGGCGGAATGGTTATGGCTGGGCATATGGATGGGCAGCAGGTGGAATGGTTATCGGCTGACATATATGGATGGGTAGCGGGCGGAATGGTTATCGGCGGACATATATGGATGGTTATCGGCCGACATATATGGATGGGCAGCAATGGTTATCGGCTGACATATATGGATGGGCAGCGGTGGAATGGTTATCGGATGACATATATGGATGGGCAGCGGGCGGAATGGTTATCGGCAGACATATATGGATGGGCAGCGGCGGAATGGTTATCGGATGACATATATGGATGGGCAGCGGGCGGAATGGTTATCGGCTGACATATATGGATGGGCAGCGGGTGGAATGGTTATCGGCTGACATATATGGATGGGCAGCGGTGGAATGGTTATCGGATGACATATATATGGGCATGGAATGGTTATGGGAAATATTATGGATGGGCAGCGGGTGGAATGGTTATCGGCTGACATATATGGATGGGCAGCGGATGGTTATCGGCTGACATACATGGGCATAGAATGGGCGGATGACATATATGCGGGCAGAATGGTTATCGGATGACATATATGGATGGCAGCGGAAATGGAATGGTTATCGGATGACCTATATGGATGGGCAGCGGGCGGAATGGTTAGCGGCTGACATATATGGATCGGAAGCGGGTGGAATGGTTATCGGATGACATATATGGATGGGCAGCGGGTGGAATGGTTATCGGATGACCCTATATGGATGGGCAGCGGGCGGAATGGTTATCGGATGACCTATGGATGGGCAGCGGGCGGAATGGTTATCGGATGACATATATGGATGGGCAGCGGTGGAATGGTTATCGGATGACCTATATGGATGGGCAGCAATGGTTATCGGCTGACATATATGGATGGGCAGCGGGCGGAATGGTTATCGGATGATATATATGGATGGGCAGCGGGTGGAATGGTTATCGGCTGACATATATGGATGGGCAGCGGGGAATGGAATGGTTATCGGCTGACATATATGGATGGGCGCAGGCGGAATGGTTATCGGCTGACATATATGGATGGGCGGCGGGTGGAATGGTTATCGGCTGACATATATGGATGGGAAGCGGTGGAATGGTTATCGGATGACCTATATGGATGGGAAAGTGGGCGAATGGAATGGTTATCGGATGACATATGGATGGGCAGCGGGTGGAATGGTTATCGGATGACCTATATGGATGGATGGGACATATATGGATGGGCATGGTGGAATGGTTATCGGATGACCTATATGGATGGGCAGCGGGCGGAATGGTTATGACCTATATGGATGGGCAGCGGGTGGAATGGTTATCGGCTGACATATATAGATGGGTAGCGGGTGGAATGGTTATCGGCTGACATATATGGATGGGCAGCGGGTGGAATGGTTATCGGCTGACATATATGGATGGGCAGCGGGCGGAATGGTTATCGGCTGACATATATAGATGGGCAGCGGGTGGAATGGTTATCGGCTGACATATATGGATGGGCAGGGCATCTGCTGACATATATGGATGGGCAACGGGTGGAATGGTTATCGGCTGACATATATGGATGGGCAGCGGGCGGAATGGTTATCGGCTGACATATATGGATGGGCAGCGGGCGGAATGGTTATCGGCTGTCATATATGGATGGGCAGCGGGTGGAATGGTTATCGGCTGACATATATAGATGGGCAGCGGGCGGAATTGTTAGCGGCTCGAATTCCGGTCGAGTTGCTTACATTTACGTTTGCGCAAAAACTCTTCAGAAAGGTATAAATACATCCTTTCTTTCTCCCCAGCTATGGATTAACTAATAGGGTAGATTGGGCTTTTCACGTTTGGTTGTCAACCAGTCTAGGAGAAGGACAAATGTGAATTCAACACCAGTTGAGCATACTTCTTGCTACGGGAAGAACGGCATCACTGACGAATGTTGAGAGAGGTGGTCACATAGTCCTCAGCAGAGTCTATGGAGTTGAATTGAGCAACTAAGATATGACCATCATCAGCCGGCCGACACGTGCAAGAGGCGGAAAGAAGTGCAAAATAATAATAATAATGATAATAATAATAATAATAATAATGGTAATAATAATGGCAATAATAAGGAGACGGTAAAGAAGTTCTAACAGGATTCATTATTGACAGCCACAATATTAACAACATAAGATATGCGGATGGCACAGTGTTGATAGCAGACATGGAAAGAAAAGTCCAAAAACTTGCACAGAAGGTACTGAAGGAAAGCAAGAAGAAAGGACTAAACATCAGTTGTAAGAAGACAGAATGCATGGTTGTTAGCAAAAAGATGTCCCCAAAGTACGAATTGCAAGTTGGAGATACCAAAAATCAACAACAAAAATTTAAATATTTAGGATGTATGTAGACAGAAAGTGGGATACTGAAAACCGAAAGCGTATTGAGAATTGGCAAAAGATGAATTCCAAAGCTAATCAGAATATTAAGAAATAGAAAAAAATTCCCTTGAAACAAGGAAAGTAGAACTAAACTGTTACGTGATATCTGTCCAACTGTATGTTAATGAGTGCTTCACAATCTCCTCAAAGATGAAGAAGAGACTTGAAACAACAGAAATATGGATTCTGAGAATACCATGGGCCGATTCTGTTTTAGAGACAATGGAAGCAAAAATACTCAGCACCAGGAAGTGACAGTTGAAATTTCTAAGGCATATAATGAGGAAAGAGTGCTTGGAAATTCTGATACTCAGAAGACAGACTGGAGGCAAGAGAGACAGGGGAAAACAACGCATAACATACTTAGTGAGCTTGAGTAAATGGATGGCAGAACAGGGTTTAGGAGAGATAACAAAAAGACAAAACGTATTAAGAGCTACAAAGGAGAGGAAATTGTGGAGAGCCATGAGCGCCAACACTCTGAGCGGACACAGCACATCAAACAACAAACTTGAGTAAATAGATGGCGGAACAGGGTTTAGGAGAGAAAACAAAAAGATAAAATTTATTAAGGACAGGAAGTTGTGGAGAGCCATGATCGCCTACGCTCTGAGGGAACATAGTAGATAAAGGAGAAAAGGAAAAGAAGAAGACAAAAGATAAGATGGAGTGAACTGAAGATTTGAGTATGAGAGAAAAAAAGAAAGAAAAGACGAATATTGTGACGTCATTCACTGCCATAATGTCTGGCTTCATTCATAACAACATAAGAAATTTAAAACTCTTCTTTCTTCGCCTAGAAAGAATTCAAACAACAATAACTCCGCTTTCTTTTATTTGATATTTCTTGTACATTATTAAAAGACGGTGATGTTAACTTACTTTTCTACGGTACAACTTGTCTCAATGGTTAGAACAGCACCCTGGCGTTCATGAGATTCAAAACTCGAACTTTTCATGATGGAGGCTTGATAACAGTAAATCACTTTATTTACATTATTCGAACTATTGTCCTCATCTTTCTTGCCATATTTATCACAACGTTTCGGCCGTTGTACGCTCCGGCCTTCTTCAGCTGGTTGGAATGTCGAAGAAGGCCGGAGCGTACAACGGCCGAAACGTTGTGATAAATATGGCAACAGAGATGAGGACAATAGTCCGAATAATGTAAATAGTGTACATAATACCTCTTCTCAGAAATATAGACAGATACTGAAGGGCTGAAACGTTGTGATAAATATGGCGACAAAGATGAGCACAATAGTCCGAATAATGTAAATAGTGTACATAATAGCTCATCTCAGAAATATAGACAGATACTGAAGGGCCGAAACGTTGTAATAAATATGGCGACAAAGATGAGCACAATAGTCCGAATAATGTAAATAGTGTACATAATAGCTCATCTCAGAAATATAGACAGATACTGAAGGGCTGAAACGTTGTAATAAATATGGCGACAAAGATGAGGACAATAGTCCGAATAATGTAAATAGTGTACATAATAGCTCATCTCAGAAATATAGACAGATACTGAGAAATTCAATTTTGAAAATAAAAACGCCACATTTTAATCATGAGAAAGAGCTTTTGTTTAATAATTATTGCTTGATCAATTTTTAAGATCCATCATCGTACTGTGTTATTTTCATCAGCATCTGATTGCGAGTCAGGTGACATAATTGTTGTTTGTTTATTTATTTATTTATTTTGGAATTTCAATTGTTGTGAGTTTTTAGACCGATAGTTCCCCGCGATTGGTCAGATTGTTGAGGTGTGTTTTTAGGCTGAACTAGAGGTAGTTTCTCTCAACACCACCAATTGCTACAAAACCAAAACATTAACCTGAAAACTCGAATCGTGTTCTTAAATATTCTTTTCAAATAGAAACATTTCATATGAATTGCCATACATGTCGCTAAACTGATTAAAAAATATCGAAACTATCAGGTGTATACAACGAGTTTCTAAGCTCAATGATTAAAAATGGCTTCGAACGAATGAAGCCTGTAGGTTTTAGCAAGGACCATCCTTCTCCGAACATTGTGGACTGGCGCTACAGAATCACAAATAACACAAATCGCATCACCATTCAACAACAGCAACAGTTAAAACGGACCTGTAACTCGGGAAAATAATGATACAAGCAAGATGTTGACATTCCACACTACTTCAAACAAAAGGTTGGGAAGGAAACCCTCATCAATACTGGAAAGAGCAACGATAGTTATTGGTCTTGAAAAACTTATTTTCCTGAGAAATTGCTTTAAGAGGAAGATTCTACAGATTTCAACATTGGCTGCTTGGTCAATGAATGCCGGAGGTTTCCTTATAAGGAAACAGTTAATGTTACTATTACCGTTAACATCTCTATATAAATTGCCAGCCAAGGCTAAACAACCTCTGTCTGTCCATAAGGTGAGGACTTAATTCTGCTGTTAATTTACTAAGCGCTATAAAGGACAGGAAATTGTGGAGAGCGATAATCGCCCAAGGCCTGAAGGGAAGAGGAAGAAGAATCCATCAATTATTTTCGTTATAGTTGAGAGATATTGCTTTATTCGAACTTGTAAAATGAAGATAATGTTAAGGTCGAATGAAAGATATTTCGTTTTGGTTGCCTGAGACAAACAAGGAAACTGCCGTCATTTAAATTTGTTTGACCACTTCCGACTAAAAAGAAATCAAGCGAAGCAACAATTTCCTTTTAGTCACAACTAACTACGGTATAGATCCCATATTCAACACTATGTTGTTATGGTCGCCTGTAATGTCATAGAATTGATTTATGTGAATAACTCGCATTCAGCGATGTGTCATTGGAATTGAACATACATTATTTTATTTTTTAAAGTCACGTTGATAAACATCATAAACAATCTAAAAAAATAAACAGTAAATTCTGTCTGTCCGTCCGTGTGTTGAAACCCCTCTAACACGGGCCATACTTGCTCTGCATAGTCACATTATACCATTTTGTAATCAGGATGATCCGGGGATTGACAATCTGCACTACATCTTGTGTTTGAACATCCAGCTTTGGGATTTGTGTCCGGATGGGAATAGTTAAACATTCAAATTTTAAAATATCTGAAAAAATTAGTGATTTTAAAAGTTTTAAATTCATATTGAGTTTAGAGTAACACAAAAACTTTGTGAATTTAAAAAATTTCGTTTTAAATTCAGCTTAAAATATCTTTGTAAAATCAATTTAAAATATCTTTGAGAAAATCAATTTTATTTCTTCAAAATGCCAATGAATCAGAGTTAAAATGTAAGGTTTCGTGACGTGAGGATTTGAAGTTCTGAAGAATTTTCGATTTGAAGAACACAACTGAATTGAAGTTCCACGGAGTTTGTGATTTGCAGAACTTTATTTTCGGCCTGAATTGGATTTCAGCCCAAATCAATCTTTTCGCAGGAATTTGACTTATAGCCCGAATCAGAGGTTTTAAAATTCCGTGGAGTGAATTGAGGAATTCAAATATATTTCTTCAAAATTATCATTGCTGTTTTCTAAGCTGGACTCTGTTTTCTAAGAGGTACTTTAAGTTTTGGACCAGAAGCACAAATTAACTCTCCGGAAGATATAGCTTAAAAGTCCGCACACCATGCGGACATTTAAGCTAGTTTATAATAAAAATATAAATATAAATTCGATTTTAAAAGTTTTAAAACTTATATTTTCATGTATTTCCACATGCTAAAACGCTAAAAGTAATCAGCTAAAAATGGTATCATTAGGTCATTTTTTATAATATATATATATATATATATATATATATATATATATATATATATATATATAGCTCGAGGATAACCGTCTACTAGGGCGGATATCCAATCCCTACTGCAGACGCTTGCTCAGGCGTATTTGTTTTTGTTCGACACCAACAGAGCCAACTTGTGGTTTATACTGCAACTATGCTGAGAAGACCTTAGTTACAGTTTCTGGAAAACAATTTGATTAAGCCAGCACACTCAAATCCTCGGGCACGATGACTTGTGACTTCGTGCGAGCACGGCTATTGATGGACCCCAAGGGTTCCGTCGACTCAATTTCATTCACAAGGCTTGGGTAAACCCGTGGTATGATTTTCAGCCACTTTCCAAAGGTGCCGCACGCTGGGATCGATCCCTCCAATTGGATAACATCAGGAAGTCTCCTTACTGACAAATCGACTATGATGAGATTCGAACCCGGGTCTTATGATCAGAATGCGAACGTTCTCACCACTCGGACATTATATATATATATATATATATATATATATATATATAAATTATATATAGAAGTCAATATATAGAGGCGACAATCTGTTTCATGCTAGATGCAATCATCAGATCTTACGATTGCATCTAGCATGAGACAGCCTGTCGCCTCTGAGTGTTGACTTCAATGTTCACTTTTATATTTACACACGCTCTATCTCTGATGTTGAGCACTTTTATCCCATCAATATAGCACATCTTAAGACTATATTTTTTTACACACACACACACACATATATATATATATATATATAATAAAAAGGATTAAACACTAATATTCCATGGTCATAACTTATTCCATTGGAATCGTAAATACGTTCCAATTCATCAGACCTACAAATTCAAAAAGAAAACAGAAAAAACAACTCCGGGAATAAAAAATAAAATTTAGTGAGAGTGTATGTATGAGAGTGTGGGACGAATGTTAGAGTAAATGAAAGCTATAGAGAGGGGTAACAGATGAGAGAAGAACAGTGAGGTCTAAAGATGAAGGGGGGATAAAAATTTAACAGAGAAAAGTTTTAAAGAGGGGAGTCAAAGACGGTTTAAGTGAGAGAAATATGAATATACTCGGATCTGTAATACATTTAAGATACACCGGAAAAGAGTATACATTTTTTGGTGACATACACACACAATAGACGATCTAATCTTAAAGATGAGAAGATGAGAGAGGGAGAGGAAAAGAAAAGAAAAAGGGATGGGAGAGAAAGATGGGGGGGAACTAAAACCGAAGGGCATTTATAAAAGGGCCGCTGTGTAATCAAGAAATTTTGACAAAAGTAATATCGACTACAGGTTACAAATCTAATATAAACATATAAAAAATATAATGATTATCTTATCTAGCAAGGACCTATATTTCTATGTTCATAAAAACGTACGTATACACATATACACAACAACATATTTATATTTACACGTACATACATACATATAGGCTAACTACTACTAATATTATACATATTAGTAAATATTTGTGGTTTTTATTAATTAGATTTTCATTAGTTTAGCGCAATGTTATAACTAATCACATCAGAAACAAATCGTACTTTCCACCACAGACCACAAAGCGTTTCAACACACGATGTGTTTATATTTAACTAACGGCTGATGTTTCAGGGCTGTGTTCAAGAGTGCAAACAGTGTGTTGTTTTTGCATTGTCCCTACCACCGTCCGCTCTTATCGTGTTAATATATCATCGACTATTCATTTGTATTATTACACCCATTAACAACACCTAATTTAGTAAAACAGGGAATACATGAAATGCAGTACGTTTCTATAAAGTGGTAGTGTCGGCTGTTTTTCTTTTCAGTCGTCGGAATGAGTTACTTTTATTTGTACGCCATCACAACCCATCACCTCAATAGAATTCAGGAAACAAAGTCATTATTGTAATATTGCTTTTTTACCCAATACAAATATATTAGTAGATATGGTGCCTGATTTTTTTTTATCATACCATACAAGCAGTCACCAC